GCGGCCACCGCGCCCACTGCGTGCACCCGGTCGACCTCCGCGGAAGGAGGAAAATTGAGAATCTTGATGGGCAAGGTTGGCTTGGGGTTGCAGGGCAGGGGTGTTAGAGCCCGAAGAGGATTCAAGAAGATTGACGGAGACAAGATTCTTCTTCTTGAATTTTTCAAGGCGAGATTCGTGGGCAAGAAGGAGAGTTTCAACCTCTTCGATGGATAAAATGTCAAAGCGACTGCTTATTAGGGAGACGGTGGACTCGTATTCCTCTGGTAGACCTTCAAGAACAATGTCCAAATGTTCTTTAGAGGAGACAGAATCACCAATGGCTGTGAGAGAGTCAACCAGGGATTGGATGCGAAGAAGATAATCGTAGATGGTGCAGTTGTCAAGGGTGGTGCTACGAAGATCACTGCGAAGTTGTCGTGCTTTGGCGTTTGTGTGGGCATGGAAGTACGCATGAATCTTGTCCCAAATCTAGAATGAGGACTTGCAACCGATGATGCGGGTGAGCATGTCCTTGGACATGGAAGATTGCAACCAGGAGAGAAGTAACTGGTCTTGCTGTTCCCAAGCCAAATACTCTTCAGAGACAGGATTTGCATCTCTGTCAGAAACCGTGAGAAATTTTGGAGGAATTTGAGGATTGACCAGAAAGTGATGAAGGTGATGGCCTTTGATGACGGGTTCCACTTGTTGACACCAAAGAAGGTAATTCTTGGTGTCAAGTTTCTCAGAAATAGTATGGGCAAAGGTGAGCTTGGAGTAGAGGTGACCGCTGCGAGACGGGGAGTTTCAGCCTCGTGTTAGAGTTACCATTTTGGGTAACAGTTTTTGTCTGTGCTTGACCGGCACTAGGAAATATTTTGGGATGACTGTACATATATGGTATTTTATTTTGTATACAGAAACTTAATTATTTTGATCCTTATATTTATGCATGTATGATATGTGTTATCCAGTTTTATATTCTCTTAGTTAATTAGTTGTAATGCGATTCCACTAAGTGTAGTGACCATGGTGGGTCGTTACATCTATCACACATGAGTACATTAAGGTATATAACTAGTCATTATATATTTTTTTAAATTAATTTTTTTTAACATATTACATTATATATGTGAATATTAATTTATATATATATATATATATATATATTAAATTAAAAAAAAAAATTAATTCGTTATTAAGAAGTATTCTTTATTATATATAAGAACTAATCTCTTTTAAAAATTTAACAAATATCAAATAAATTAGCAACTATTTCAAATTTATATTTTATACATATAATAATTTAAATATATTTATTTATTTTATTAAAATATAACTTTTATTTTTTTAATAAAAAGAATTGTATGTGTCAAATAGTAATAGAGGCAAGTACCTCAACTCCCCCTCAATGTACATCGGTCTCTGTGTACAAGATTTGTCCACCAAGCTTTGGTGCCAGTCACCTAGAAAAAGGAAAGCTTAAGTGCAACATTGGCACTACTTTTTTCTTTCATTTGAACACATTTCGTGTCACGATGTGCCTTGGAATCTTTCATGCAAGCAAGATCTTTCAGATTTCCAACTTCTCTAGCCCCCCTGAGTATGAGGGTATAGCTCACCTAGAGGTGCTTTGTTGGTTGAAGAGCTTAACTTCGGTGATTTAATAAAAGTTGAGTTGAATTTAACTTAACTTTTCAAACTTAAAATTAACTAA